GCGGCACCACACGAAGCACCCCGGGTGCCACTGCCGGGAGTAGCCGGCCCTGTCGGCGTAGACCACCGGGCAGTCCCCCGGCACCGCCTGCTTGCAGGTCTCGCAGCGCTGCGGGAGAGAGGCGGCAGTGAGCGCGGGGCGGGCAGGCGGCAGCCACCCTCAGTGCATGGGATGGATATTTACTCCTCAGATGTTCCGATTCACCGCGTCTCTGCAGCGCATCGTTCTCGGCCGCACAGCCGGAAAGCAGCACGCTTAGCAAAACAGACCCCCACCCCATCTCCAAGCACGTCCCCAGCGCTTCCCACTTCTACAGAGCATGAAGGACCTACTGTGCTCCTGCTCCACATCCCGTGGCACCAAGGAGGGCAGTGGAAATAAAGCGTTTAACTCCAGGACTGCTAAGCTGTGTGGCTTAGCTTGGTTTTGTTTGAGCTGTTGTTCTGTGAAGGGAAACTTGAGAGCTCCAAAACCAGATTTTACAGCTGTATGGGCTTGGAAGGGACAGCAAACACACCCGTCTGAAGCGAGGGAATAAAAACAGCGCAGCGAGGTGGAAGAGCAAGGAGAATCTGAAGAGAAAGCAATGGTTGCCACTCAAAAGTACCGGGAAAAATGTCCCAATTGTGCAACAGAACTCAGAGAACACAGAGAGCACCACTGGACCCCACGGCCAACAGAACCAACATCTCCACATCTGTCGCCCCAGATCCTGTGCAAACATTTGGACCAGTGCTACCTACGGACAGAGTGTCCAGTCATAATATAACTAAGTCATTATAAATATGCATTTGCCAGCCCTCACCTGGAATACTGTTTGCTTTCTCCCAGCCTGACCCTCGGGCAGGTGAGAATGGCACTACCCCCATCAGCTCAGTGTCGGGCCTTTGGGACCCCCCAGGCTGAAACCAGCCTTGGCTCAAATCCAAAGGCTCTCCAAGAACGGGCTACGACATCCCGTAGTGCAGAAGTGCAGCATGTCAAAGATGTTATTGTTGCTTAGAGATTAGGTACTTTGGTCTTTTCTCACTGTTTTTTAATATATACGTCTATGCATAAGACAGATGTCACTCTCCAGATTTCAGCACAGTGCTTTCAATTTATAACAGCCCAAAGAGACAGAATTAGGTTTGGCTAATCCGAAGATTAATTACCATCTACACATATTACACAGAAGACCAACTGGGTTTACTCTTTATCTGTGCCTGCAGAGTGATCCCGCGATTAGTTCAGAGCAAGGTTTAACGCTCTGCCCTCTGAGGCTGACAGCTGATGGGCTGTTATTGAAGTTCCCATTTCAGTCTGGAGAGCGGAGGTCAGGCCAACAGCTGACGCGTCTGTGCTTTGTCACTCCCTAAAAGAAACGCTCTTCAGCAGCAGCTGGAGACTCTTCCAGCAGAGCCCGTGGCTGCGCGGCCGCACCGCCGCCAGCAATCTCTGCCGCGCTCGGGCTGCGGCTTCCACCAAACCCAGACGCGGCGCGAAGCACCTCCTGTGTCGCACACGTCGGGGCTGAAGCTGCTGAGCCTGAGGGGGCGTTTGCACTGCGGCACGTCCCCTCCAGCACGCTCCGAGCGGCACGGGGTCGGGAATTTCCCTGCGCCCCGATGGCGACTTCACTTACAAACGCCCCGATTTAAGTCAACGAGCTTCTAATAGGCGGGTAGAAGAGACACAAACATAACATTTCTCAGCAGAGGGTAAACTAGCAGTTTCTGAGCTGAGGGGGGACACCAGGGATGGGGCAGGGACAGAGTAGGGGGATGTCCCGCAGGGCACCCCGCGTCCTGAGGAACATGCCCCTGATGCCGTCAAGGCCTGGGACATCCTGCACCAGGAACACGGGACCCCGCGGTGATCCTCCCTGCTACGACCCTGGTACTGCAGCGGCAGAAAGGGCCTCTCTGGGGCACAGACAGAGTGGGGTTATCTCCGTGAGCTCTGCAAGCAGCAAGCTGCAGACGAGCTCCCCACCACATCCAGCCCCTTTTGCCAGCTCATGGCACGAGCACTAAGGAGACTATCCTTTGCATCTACAGAGTTTTCATAGAACCATAGAATGGTTTGGGTTGGAAGGGACCCTAAAGCCCATCCAGTGCCACCCCCTGCCCTGGGCAGGGCCACCTCCCCCCAGCCCAGGTTGCTCCAAGCCCCGTCCAACCTGGCCTTGAACACCTCCAGGGATGGGGCAGCCACAGCTTCTCGGGGCAACCTGCCCCAGGGGATCACCACCCCACAGGGAAATATTTCTTTCTAATATCTCATCTAAATCTCCCTTCTTCCAGTCTGAAACCATTCCCACTCATCCTATCACTACATGAGCTTATAAAAAGTCCCCCCCAGCTCTCCTGTAGCCCCTTTAGGCACTGGAAGGCTGCAATAAGGTTTCCCCGGAGCCTTTTCTTCTCCAGGCTGAACTCATTTCTCCCATTACACAGCAGAAGGCTACAGGTCTTTCTACATCAACCAAATGGCTTTTTTTTGTTTTGTCACTATTATTTCTAGGACACCACACATTTCGCTACTGCCTCCTCCCTCGTTCACTCTGGATTTTCAGTAACTGCCCCGCAGTCCTTGGAGCGGTTCCACCACGCTGATGGGCATCTCCTCTTTTACCAGCAAATCCAGTATGACGAGTGAAGGCTGCGCAAGAGGAGACAAAATATTTCCTGGCTTGGCTCTCCTGTGAGCCTGAAAGGGGATATGTCTGCTTACACTGCTCCTTCCACTGTGAAGGGCTTCAGACGCGTTTCTAAGTGCTCCCCAGACCAACCGAGGAGCGCGCTCCAGCGCGGTGCAGGAGCCAGGCTACTTCTGGTCCCTACCAACAAGCGAAGAAGCACATGAAGCTGCGGGGCTGGTGTGCTGCTCCCGGCACACACTGCCGGCGAGGGCAGACGGGCACCGATGAGTTCTGCACCCACCCTACGGGACCCTGGTGTGTGTCCCCCCACCCTGACCAAGGCACCAGCCTCGGGCGCCTCAGGGCACCGGCGAGCCCGACCCCGCAGCTGCCTCCACACTGGGGACAGGGCCAGACCCATCCATCCACCCCAGCCCTGCTTATCTTGCAAGATCTAACAGCGAGAACAAACACCAGCAGCGTGCCAACTCCCAGCTCAAGTTTCTTGCCAACGAGAACTGTTACAAAAACAACTCATTTTGCTGCTTCTTTCTATGGCAATTATTCACAGGGCTCTTCAAGCATCATAACTTCCATCCCCCTGCCATTTACACAGTAAATAAAAAGTGGCTCTTCAAATTTAAGATGGGGATTACAGCTTGGTACTCATTTTACATCTCCGTTGTGGAGGGAGAGGAGTGAAGACTTAATTAGCAGAGTTACCAGAGGTGTTGGCCAAGAAAGTGTCCCTTTCTCCTAAGCTTTTTCAAACTTGCTGTCTCCGCTGGCTGCTGTTTCACAACCACAGCTCCTGCAGAAGGAGCTCCCCGGGCACCACCAGGCTTCCCCGGAGCACTCGCTATGCTGCCGGCCTCAAGCTTTTTGGGAAAATGGCTTATTTTGATCAACTGCTTCAGGATTTGACGTGATTCCAACACAGTGGCTTACAACATCAGAAGACTTTCCAGTTCTGAGGGGGTTAAAGATGATTTTATGCTCAGTGGAGAACGTTCAGTCTTAGGACAGACACGTTAGAGTGATGGGGCCCCTCTCTGCAGGCGAGACGAGTTGAGAAAGCTGTCTGAGCTCAGATGCCTCTCATGGTGATTTACGTTGGCCCTGTATGTTTTCCTTTACACACCAATTTCAACACAGCTGGCCCGAGCGTGCAATTCCAGGGTTAACAACCTCAGCTCAGGGACCACACAAACACCCGAGGAAATCATTCCAGCCTGGTTCTTGGTGCAGCTCTGGTGCTTTTCAGGTTCATTCTCTTCCAGCACAAGGGCAGTGGGTTTCTGTTAGGTTTCTTCCCCCCCCCCAACATCCAACCTTCATAAATCTATAGTTCAGATTCACGTCTTGATCCGAAATAGAGTGAAATCAAGCTGCTGGTGCTGATTAACAGGTTTGGTATTCAATAGATTGAAATCTGTGTCCTACTTCTAATGAGCTCCATGAAAAAACATCACACAAACTCCTTGAGACTCAGGATCTCCAAAATAAGCTATTCAGCACCCTATTTTCCCCCTATGGCCTTGAACCAAAGGCACTTATATCTTCTCAAACAGCCTTCTTCATTGCTGCAATCCTGCAGGTCTCGGAGGGTTGGGACAAACACGTTCCCAGCTGATGACAGCCCTGGAGTGGCCCAGGGCAGGCTGGTGGCACTGGTGGGCATCACCTGCGGCATCCCAGAGAGAGCAGCGGTGGAGGGAGACTCGGGGGAGTTCCTCAGGCTGGGCAGCAGCCGTCACGCTTAGTTTTAGGAGACGGTCACACAAGCAGAGAGGTACCTAAACCTCCACATCTGGAGTGTGCTGAGCTACATTTCAACCCCGAATACATCGACATCATGAAACCCTCGGGTGTCGCTGGCTTCACAAACTTCATTTCTCAGTCCCTTTACATCCATTCTCAGTCTTCACATAGCTCAGTTCGCTCACATCTCCTTTCAGCCCCACACACGTGGCAAAGTGAAGTGCTGTATCTCATTTTTCTATGGCAGAATTTTTCTTCCAGCACAGTTTTGGGAGAACACCTTCTGGAAGTTCAGCACACTTCACATCTTGGGATGCAGTCCATTCCTATCAGGTCAGCTGCACTAATTGCTGCACGGGAGATCGAATTAAAAGGGGCAGTGTGTTTTTAGAGAGGAAACAGGAGATCTGTCTTCAGTACGGCAAGGCACCGCAGGACTTCGCAGTGTGCTGCGAGCTGTGCTGCTCAGCGCGCTGGCGGAAGTGGGTCTCCTGCAACTGCATCTGAAGCAGTTCCATTTTTCAGCTAGTGCCTCTAGACAAATGATGCTTTAAACTACGGAGAATAACATCACAGTTATGTATTTATTTGGAAGGACGACCTTGCAGTCTAAATAAACCCTCATTGCTAAGATGACTTTTATTGATATGTTTAATGGAAACCTTCCTTTTTTGGCTATTTTTTTTAGCTTAAAATTCTTTGTCCAGTTCAGTATTTTGCTGCAACAGTGAAAAACTTGTACTGTATTGCTGCACTCTGAAAGTCAGATGCGTGTTAACAGAAAAGGCCATAGCAGAGGGGAGACATTACCCAATATGGAATGAAAATGAAAACTGCTCTTAATGTGTTACAATCTCAGTGCAGCAATGGCTAGAAAAATCGTGCTTTAAAAATACTCAGACACCATTTTTTTTCCCAGCCTTAAGTCCTCTGCTGCAAGTTACCCTCACAAGGGCCACTATGAAGATTTCACTCACCATATTTTATGATAAGCATTTGTTCAGCAACCACAATGGCCACTCCAGACGGTGCTGGGAGAATATAAATCTAAAAGGGTGTTAGGGAATCTCAATTATTTCCCTGCGGAAATGTATTTTTGTGCCCAGAGACATGCATGGTCTGTTCAAAGTCCCCCGGAGCGATTACAGCCCCGGGAGCACTATCTCCATGTTCACAGCTTCACATTAATAAGACTGAGCCACTGCCTCCTGTCACTCATGGTCCTTCCACTGGCACTGGCCTGGAAGCTCAGCTGGAAATACTCACTAGCTCACAGTAAAACACCGCTTCTCATCTTGAGCACCTCATCGATGCCCCGAGAAGCTGTGGCTGCCCCATCCCTGGAGGTGTTCAAGGCCAGGTTGGACGGGGCTTGGAGCAACCTGGGCTGGGGGGAGGTGGCCCTGCCCAGGGCAGGGGTGGAACTGGATGGTCTTTAAGGTCCCTTCCAACCCAAACCATTCTGTGATTCTATGATGCACAATCATCTGGGGACATGTCATGCCCAGTGTTTCAGAGCTGCCAAGAATCCCAAGTTGAAATCACCGGCTCCCACAGCCAACGGAAAACGTATGTGGTGGTTCAGCACAGCTTTTGCTGTGGAGGGAGGGAGGTGGGGAAGAGGAGATCACCCACCCCTTGGCACCCGTTAGACGGACACTGGTGCTCAGCAGGGCGGGCAGGAGCACGCCAGGGCTCCCAGTGGGGTCTTTCATGGTGCTGTACCAAAGCACGCCGCGATGCGACCGGGCATCCCAGCACTGCTCTGCCAGTTTAAGGAAGCGCTGCAGCAGGGTTGCAGAAGCTCACGGGAGCCATCCCGTGAACAAGGAATGGTGCAATCTTCCCACCCCCCTCCAGCTGAGGCTGGAAAGCTCCCCAGACCCCGAGCAGAGCCAGGACACCCCCGCCAGCCCGTCCCACCGCCGCAGCGCAGCACGTACGTAGTGCCCTCCTGCGGGCGCGCGCTCCAGGGCCCCGTTGGTGGACTCAGGGGGTTTGCCGGCGGCGATGCTCTTGTCCTGTGGCTTCCCCTCCTCCTTCCCGCTGCCGCCCTGGCCCGGCAGTGCCACCTCCCCGACGCCCAGCGCCTCGGCTTTGTACTTCTTCACAAAGTCTTCCATCAGCTTCAGCTCGCCCTCGGCGAGGCCGCGGCAGTGCGACGGGTCCTGGTCGTACAGCGGGAGTTGTCTCATCAGCTGCCGCCGGCGATAGTACGCCCCGTCCGTCCCCGCCACCGGCTGCATCTCCTTGGGGATGAGCTCCATGTACTGCATGGCCTGGGAGGGAGAGAGCACCGACAGTTACTCGGGGCCGCCGTCGGCAGGGCAGCGTGAGCTTTCTTTGTGTGGGTACTCTGCAAACAGACGCTCCGCTTGCGTTATGGAGCGGTGGCAGAAAACGTGCCCCTTCCCCTCCCGCCCCCTCTGAGCTGTTCTGACCCACGCTTCAGAAATAAAAGGCTTAAGTAAAGTAAAACTTACTCAGGTGCAAGTAGCAGCCAGGCTACTGTTAATCATTTCATCCTCAGAAAACAGGTTGGGTGGTTTTTGGGGGGGGATTTTTGGTTTTGTTTTTTAAAAAAGACAACCCACAGACTCCCCAGGAAAGCAAAGCAAAGCAAAGCCGCAGAGACTTGCTTCACTAGTTTGCACCCAGCTCCAAACACACGCTCCCTTGCCAGCACGAGCGTGCCACTGTTCCAGGTAATTTGGCAACAAGGCTGCTGAAAAGACCAGAAACCCATAAACATCAAAACCCGGGACCAGCAGCTTCCCACTGCCCTGTGCTGGGACGGGGAGAGCTGCGGAGGCTGCACCAAGAGCAGCCCATGGCCCTCACGGGCTGCACGCAGCACAGTTTACAGTTATCATTTAAAAAAAATAAATTATATTTATACAAGAAAAAGTAGTCAGATGGCAGTTGAGCCTCTATCTTAACACTGACAGCCACCAGCTCTACCCGACTATTGATTCCGCAGTACCGGGAGGGTGTTTGGTCACTGATGCCCTGTGCCGTGGAAAGCAAACGCCAAGGAACCGTCTCCAAAATAAAGTCTCCTACTCAACTGGCCACTAGCCACCGTCTTAAAAGCAGAGTAAACCACGGTCTGTCCCACGCTGAACTGGTGTCTGCGGGGCGGTGGGGTCGGCACAGTTAACTTGCGCTGGCCGGGCGCGAAGGGAAGGGAGTTTCCCACTCCAGGCATTTTTCCTATTGTGGTGTGAAGAGCTGAGGGGCAGCCAGTTGGCGCGCTGCCACTCCGTTTTAAAGACCAGCATCCAGCTGCATTAGATTTGTTTCTTACTTGGTCAGCATTTGAAAACTGGATTTTAAAAAAAAAGTAAAGCAGCGATTAACTGTTTACTGTACGTAGTCTGGTTCAGCACGGCCTTTTAAATACAGAAACGTTTGCACGACACTGAACAACTCGTCACCTCCGTAAAACCTTCAAAGTCAGACAGCAGCGCGGCAGGGCAAGAGTCCTGCCTGAAGCTGTGCAACATCGGAGATCCACGATTTAATGGAGGCAGGGCTTCTTCCCCGGTCCGAGGAGCGCACGTTAACATCGCTGCATGTTACGATATTAGGCACCAACACTCAGCGTATCGTGCCCCTGTGCAACGGCAGGATTGGTACCCAGACATTTACTGGGGGAGGGCCGTCGCCCCGTCGGAGAAGGCGCTGCTCGGGAATAGCTGGTGCGGAGCCGCGGGATGCGGTAGGAGTGATGCAGTGCACAGACGGCTTTCACAGAGGCGAGAAACCCTAATGGGAACTGCAGAAGCAAGAGGCAAGAATTCCCCGACAGCTCCTCCCGGGCCTCACACAGGCACTGCCCCACAAAATAAGGGTACCGCCAGCGAAACCCGACAACTGGAAAGAAAAGCAACCCAAGCCTCGATGCTGCGCGACCGAGAGCACCGGGCCCGCAGATGCCGCGCCATCTGCGCTGGTCTGCTTCAGCGCAGCGGAGCAGCGACGCGGTAGGATCTTAATGGAAGGAATTCTTAATCCACTGCAAATGTGCCAAGACTAATGAACACTTAGACCGGAGCTACAAGAACAGCACCACGCCAGCACGTGCATCTGAAGCGCCTTTTCCACTCCAGCGCCGGACTCCCCTCTGCCAACACGGAACGTCTATGCTGAGAGTAAGCGAAGAGCGAAGCCTCGAGCCCTTCTTAAAAGTGCAGACGGACTGCTCAGGGGCAGTTTTCAGCATCTGCCCAGACATGCGGTGGGTTTTCACTCCCCGATCAAGGCAATGCTTGAAGTTCTAACGGCAGATGTCATCAGGTGTGTCCAGTGAGTAGATCAGGGCAAAAAAAAATCAACCCGACACCAAAAACTGAAATAAAGGAGAACAAAAAGTTGTTTCTCCTGCTGCTGCCGTGTATTGTTACGTTCAAACACTTTACTATGTTGCCTTAGCACAGGTAATTTTGAGGAAGAACTGGATTTTGGAGGTATTTTATGATCTGTTCTTTTCACTTTCCCCAAGGACCCTGCACGGCTACTTCATAACTTCTCCGGGCACGGCTTAATGAAAACACGCTCTGAACTTCCTCCTATTATTGGACCGTCCACTTCAGGACAACAATATTAAAAACAACGCCGCGCTTCCAGCCTGCCTTCAGAAGGAAATCACTGGAGCGAGTCTGTTATGCACTAAAAGCTTTTTGGCCCCAATCCCTTTTGAACTATCCCGGGGAGGGCTGACATCCAGCCTTTCTCCTGAAAGTTTGTCAAGTTGCTCTCCTAGCCAAAATTTATCAAGGTTGTCTTCAAAGCTCTGGCACGTTGTTTACTTGCACGAAGACATCTCCCAGCCCGTTCGGGCGCCATAAAGCATCTCAAAGCTTCCCAAAGCCATAAAGCATCCTGCAGCTTCCCGAAGCGTGTGTCCCCAGGGCTGCCCCTCACCAGTGCCGCAGGGAGGGGGTTTGCGGCTGCATTTGGGATCCCCCCAAACAGGCGCTCGCAAGGGGGTATGGTGGGGGTGCAGACCCGGGGAGGGAGAAGGCAGCCCAGCAGCCGCAGAGTTTGGGCATCGCTCGCGGTGAGGAGCCGCCCCTGCCCCACGGTGCCGGCAGGGAAAGCCGCATTCCCCATCAACCGTTAAACAAACCTCCCCGCTGGGCCAGCTCGACCAGCGGCGAGCGAAGGGCAGAGGCGACGGCGGGCGGCAGCGCTGCGATCAGACAGCTGGGCAGCGGGATGCGGGGGCACTCGGTCCCTCGTTAACACCCAGTGGTCTGCTCCAGTTAGCACCACCGACCCCAGCTGCATTCCCAGTACGAACCGTGTGCCACCCCCAGGCAGCCTCTCCAAGGGGGTGAGGGCAACTTTTAAGTTTTAAGAGGAAATAAGTCAGTCTGCCTCTCCGGTCTGCAGCTGTGATTTCACATTTGGTTCCCCAATTCTTTAAAAAAATCTGGTTGCAATTTTCAGCAGCTTTAAACTATTTTGTTTAATTTGAAGAGCAAAAGCTGTCCACTAATGACAGTGTAATATGTAGTGTTTTTTCTACCACAACACAGTTAAAAGCCAGTTAAATGCTTTCCCTCCAGAAGCGCTCCGCTGGCTAACACTTCCACATGCCGAAAACCACTTCCATTTGTTCCCACGGACCACTATTGCTCGCCCGGACGGAGAGCAGGCACAGGAGGGAACGTGGGGCCGGGCGCTTGGTTTGCATCCACCTCTGGGCATGGCACCGCGCTGCTCCCCATCTCCCCTTGTCACCTTGAGCGCCCTCTTTGAAACCTAAACTGAGGAGGCCCCGGAGATGCTGGGAGGGCTGGAGCCCCTCTGCTGGGAGGACAGGCTGGGAGAGTTGGGGGGGTTCAGCCTGGAGAAGAGAAGGCCAAAAAGGGGAGAGCTCAGAGCCCCTTCCAGTGCCTAAAGGGGCTCCAGGAGAGGTGGGGAGGGACTCTGGGTCAGGGAGGGGAGCCATGGGGTGAGGGGGAACGGTTTGACACTGACAGAGGGGAGACTGAGATGAGATCTGAGGAAGAAATCTTTCCCTGTGCAGGCGGTGATCCCCTGGGGCAGGTCGCCCCGAGAAGCTGTGGCTGCCCCATCCCTGGAGGTGCTCAAGGCCAGGTTGGACGGGGCTTGGAGCAACCTGGGCTGGGGGGAGGGGGCCCTGCCCAGGGCAGGGGGTGGCACTGGATGAGAAGTTAAACCCCCTTTCCCGCGTCCTCCACTGACCCAGCAAATCTGAGCTGAGGTGAAAGGCAACAGCATTACAGCGAAGTTAAGCCACGGAGTAAGCGCGGTCAGCACACCGTGTTGGCTCAGTTTCGGTGTTCCTATGGACACGTGTCCGGGGCCGCGGTGATGCAGCATTCAACAGGAACCAAGGCTGTGTTCTGGGGAGGTTTAGGGCCATTCTGTGATTTACACAGGTACAAGTGAGCACTAGTTGCACTCGTGGTTAATAAACCTGAGATGCTGATTTAAGTCCAAGATTTTAATGACTACTTCAGTAAGCAAAGAAGATAATTACTATATTAAAGACAACAGTTATTTTGCTTTTATAATTTCTGTAACAGAATAATTTACAAACACAGTGCGGGATTTGGATGCCGTATTACTTCTTTCCACGTTGATTTAAGATCTCTGCTTTTGAGACAGACTGAGGCACCCTCTCCTGAAGTGTTTGCTGAAAAACCCCTCCGGGTTAGCGGCAGCATCCCAGGTAGCCACCTCCACTGCGCTGGCTGGTCCTGGGGCAGGCTCGCACCAAGCAAGGCAGGACCTCCACCTCCGACAGGAGGTCAAAGCCCAGCGCAACTCCTCCTGCCCACAGGAACCACCCAGATTGTCTCCACTGCTGATCCCCGAAGCCCGGTCCAGACCACCTTGTTTTAGAAGCACAGAGATGGTCTCTAGAGTTAACTCATCATCCTTGTGTGTGTCCCACAGCTTGCACAGCTTTCTACCCGTGAGGTGCCCTGCCGGGGGGGTTTAGGAAGAGGACCAGCTCACAGCCCAGAGACCCCGAGGAGGTCCGGAGGAACAGCTCCCACTCCCAGCCCGGGGTTCTGCAGCACGCATGCGCCTGCGTGGGCTGCGCAGCCCTCGTGCAGCTGGCGGGACAGCGGAGATGGGATCTCTCCTCAGCAATGTTTTTATTGGACGTGAGCTTTACCAAAGGAGCGAGCTTTCGAGTTGTAAAACCCATTAAGACTTCTCCTAGAAATGTAAGCAAACCTATAAAAACCCAAAGGCAATCCATTCCCCTCTCCTACCTACTCCGGTTATTTACGTGGTTTTCCAAAATACAAAGTGTTACGCACATTCTTGCTCTCCGAGGCAAACCATATGTTTTACTATTTTTCCCCCAATAACTTTATCCTAAGCAGAATTATGTTCTCCATTATGCGACACAAGTAGCAGCCAAACGCGCCGTGGATTGTCTTACCAGCTTCTGGGTGAGCCCCGGGGGAGCCCACTCGTATGTGATGGTGTCGAAGGTGGGGTCCTTCCGAGAGACGATGGGGTTGGTGATGATCATGCGGTTCCTTTTGTAAATGCGAATGCCATCACCTCCTTTCACGCGGGCGGTGAGCGTGGCATACTTGGAATCTGACAGCAGGCGCCCAATTTTCCGATCGTCCTCCACATCTGAGCTCAGGCTGTGATCCTCCTGGCTGCATTTGCACGACTTGCAGATTTTCCTGCGGGTGACAAACAAGATCATCCTTTCGATGTGTGTTGGGCCATGGGAGGCACGCAGTCATCAGCCTCTTCCAAAGGGTAAATGCAGACCAGGGCTACGGCATAACACAAAAGGTTCCTGCGAGCTGAGCTACACATGGAAATTCAGCACGATTCATAGAATGGTTTGGGTTGGAAGGGACCTTAAAGCCCATCCAGTGCCCCCCCCTGCCCTGGGCAGGGCCACCTCCCCCCAGCCCAGGTTGCTCCAAGCCCCGTCCAACCTGGCCTTGAACACCTCCAGGGATGGGGCAGCCACAGCTCCTCGGGGCAACCTGCCCCAGGGGATCACCGCCCACACAGCAAAGAATTTCTTCCTAATTTTCTTCCTAGATTTCTTCCTAGAATATTTTATCGAAATCTCCCCTCTTCCAGTCTAAAACCAACCCCCTCATCCCACGGCTCCCCTCCCTGATCAGGAGTCCCTCCCCACCTCGGGACAGCCAGCAGCTACAGCCACCACGGTGCTGCCAAGTGGGCAGAAAAACCCCACTGCATGAAGCCTCAGCTTGGTTTAAGCGCTTGTGGATGAGATTTTAACTATAAAAAAAAAAGAGCAGTATCAGTGAAAGAAGCGGGGTGGAGAGCAGGGAGCATGAGCACCTTCTCAGCTCTCAGCTGCCCTGCCCAGCAGCGTGTCCTCTCTGCACCTCCCAGCGCCACCCAAGTGCTCTGCAGTTCTTTGCGCTCAAAGCCACTGGAGCCCAAATATTGGCAGGACCAAAGGGACAGCGTCGGAGCAGGGCCATCGAGGCCAAGACGTTACCTCCAAGAATGTGGCTCGAAGCCCGTGCACGTCCCTCTGCAGCGTAAACACGGCACACCTCTTCCCAACTGCGGCTGGCTCACCGACATCTGGAAAAGAACAGGACACTGGAGTTGGCTTTATCCTCACAGATTGAGCACTAACATTGTTTTGTCCTTCAGACGCTGATTTCTTCAGCCATGCCTGTGAAGTCTCAAACCTCCCGACCACCCTTTGACCACTGTCCACGCAGACCTGCTACAAGTTTATGCAGGGATGGTTGGCATGAAGGTTTGCATCTTAACGCGAGGGGAGATGGCACTGCAAACCCAGTGAACACACGCACACTCTGGAGGGAACCCGCAGCTCTCATTAAAAGGTTATTTTGATTCAGCTTCTGTATTGCGTATGAATCTGTGCAAGTCAGAAATTTCACGCAGCGAGACAGGGAGGTGCGTTGCCGTGACCCGATGCCAAAGCTGCTTCACTGCAGCTCGCACCTCCTCGCTCTGTCTACAGGGGCTCAAGTGTATTTTGGGAACGTGGCACGTTTCCACGCCTCCGGCACTGGCTTCTACGGGTGGTTTCCACAGGGAACAGGAAACACGGCAGGGAAAGGCCCCGGGCAGGAAAGGCGGAGGGGGAAAGGGCTGTGGTTGTGCCACACTTTCCGCTGCTCAGTGAGAGTGGAGCAAAGTCAGTTCTATAGGTGGGAGCTGACTGCTGCGCAGACAGCCCTAATAACCAACCAAGGGGAGAGAGACAAGTGCAAAAAAAAAAACCACAACAGGAGCCAACAATTTTGAAAATGAACCTATTTTAGCGTCTGTGCCGTGGATTTCTCAAACATGGCTTTTTGAGTGTGAAGAACACAGGAGGGTATGACTAAAGACAAAGCCCAAAGTACTGCAGGAAGCGACACCACAGGACATTGAACTTCTCAGACCGGTTCTTTTTACAGAAACCTGCAGACTCCTGTCTGAATGACATGTTTGTTCCCTGCAAAAATGGATGTAAGGAGAATGAGGACAGTCCCACCCCAGGACATGGACACTCGGCAGAAGCAGTGGCAGCATCCCGGCAGCTTCGCCCCATCTCAGCAGAGCTGACCCGGTGCAGTCAGGGATTGAACTACAGGGTGGTCATCCACCTCCACAAAACCCCAATGCTCTCAGTCCTCAAGCAGCATTATGAAGCGTCTCTTACAGTTCTCTGACCGCTTTGGACCTCACAGCCTGCATTTTCTGCCAAGGCTTAACACCCACAGGTCTCACACCCCCACGCCCCTTTTTGGTGTTTGCTCCTGTTCATCAAGTTTTTGTAGGTGGTCTTTAACGCCCTCTCGAAACACAAACTAGTTCTAGGTACCGACCGGTCCTTTGTGCACACACCTGTAGAGCCCATCAGAAGAACAGTTGAGGCTGGAGAAGGGTGTTGCCCGTCTGCGCAATCTTAATCTAGCCCATGTGTTTTCCTGTGCTATGATAGTCTTTCATTGCAAGATCACACACTATTTAAATTGATATTGTTACGTCTCCTCCTGCCCCAGCTCCTCTCCCCACCCCGCAGCGAGGGCACGGTGCTCCCAGCTTCCAGGGGGACGGGCAGAGCTCGCCCTTGCCAGGTCCCGTCTTCCAACAGAGGGATCAACAGCAGTAAAAGAACAGAGGTTGTTTTTACAGCATGCGTTCGGGGAACGAGCTCAGCTCCTTCACACTGTAGTGCTGTGGTTAAAGAAAAATAAAATAAATTCCCCTTTGAGGAGGCTCTGCAGGGACCCTGCACGGGTGGCCGGACACCGCAGGGCGGTGGCTTCGCTGGTTCCCAGCCCGAGCCCTGCCCAGCCGTGCTCCGCCGGGACGCCAAGCCGGTGATGATGCTGGCAGCCGCTCCTTCCTCCCGCATCCACCAGCTCCCGCGCTCCCCAAAGCTCCTGCATGGACCGGGGACACCCTGACACCTCCTCTGACATTCAAACTCTTCCTGCAGCTTTCAAAAGGAAAAAGCTATTTGGCGGCACTCAGGAAAAACATTTAATTTACTTGGAAAAGCCGGTGCTGCTAATAAGGAAAAAGCTTTTATGAACAGATGGTTCCAGAAACAGTCAGATGCTTATTTGCCAATTTTAAGGTAGATGACAAGCCTTTACAGGTTGTTTTTTTTTTTTTTTTGGGCAGAACTATTAAGTCCCCACACAAGACTGCTCATCCTTGAGAAACACAGCCCAGAGGCTACAACATGGCCAACTGCAGCTCACTTCGCCCGCGGGACGGCCATTTCAGTTGTGCCTCAGCTTGCACCTGTAGTTTTCACCTCATTTTTCACCTGCAGTCTTTCCAGATATTTTGAAGCCAGTGAAAGAGACCTCTTGCCCCGGGAATGCATAAAAATACATCTTAAAAATGGTCTTAACATGCACACATGCTCCACCCCGCCTCTAACCTTCTTCAGCTGCGTGCCAGCTCTCCAGAAAATATAAAGGCATTTAAGATTCCAGCACAGACCACTTAATGGTGCCAGTTCTGGAACCACGTGCTAGATACAGATACCTACTAACTGATGGTGTTGGTTGTTTCCCCCCCCCGACTCTAATCTTAATGAGTCGGACAGAAGCTGAGTATCAGCAAGGGACTATGAACAGTTGTTTATTTAAAATACAAACATCTGGATTAAATAAACTCATTTGGAAGAGTTCCCTTTGCTTTCCCCCTTGAATGTAATGGAAAAGCATTGTCAGTAGCAAGAACCAGTGCAAGAACCCCCCAGAAGACAACGTGATGCTCCACAGCCCAAGTGTCAGTGCAGGAGCTCACAGCCACCTGGGGGTGGCCACCAGCCCGCAACCTTCATGCTGATACGTAAACCCAGTATTTCACTTTATTACTTCGGTGTTAACAAGACCCTTTCTGGGTAATTTATTCAATCTGGCAATTTGTTCTGCTTGTCCAAATGTGACTTCTGCTTCATGCCCCAGGTCCAAGTTTAATTGAGGTTAACTATTCTTTACTCAG